GGTCTGGTCCCAGAATGGGAAGTGCCTATGAGAAGGAGCTAGGGGGTAGCAACGTCAGTTTCCAGAATTTGCCTTTTGTCAAGTCTGTGCCAAAAGAGGGCTCCTCCCCGTGAGGCTCTACAGTACCCCCAGAGCTGGGAGTGGCCCGGCCACGGTAAAATAAAACAGTGAAGCAAAGAGAGCTGTGATACTCTGGTCTTCACTTTTACTCTGTGAGGGTTAAATGAGTTAATATATGTAAGGAACTTAGATGAAGCGGGGCATGAAGTACTGGGAAAACGTTTGGCCTCTCTTTTCTGCTAGCTTAATTTAAACACCTATGTTAGTGGCAGAAACCACGTACAGAGAGCTGCAGCCAAAACAAAAAAGGTGGTGAGGTTTACTATAAGAACGTAGGCACAATTCATGACAAGCTAACCATGGTAAGGATGGGCCTCTGCTGAAAAGACAGAGACTGAGGCCCCCTCAGAATATTTTCATCGAGTGCCTAAACACTCTAAGATTTTGAGTTTCACCCTCAAAATTTTTAATCTGCAATCGACATATGTGTGTGGTGTGATCCAAACACATTTTCTCTGTTTGGATTACCAATTGTCTGAGCATTGACTATCTCATCCTCATTCCACTGAACTATAATACCATCCTTGTAGGGTGTCAAGAATATATACATACAGGCTCACTTCTAGGTTGTTCATTTTATTCCTTTGGCTGTCTGTTCCTATACAATTACCACATTGTTTTAATTAATGGTTTTGTAATAATCTTGATATCTGACAATAAAAATTTCCTCAGTTTATTATTCTTTTTTATAAAAGTATCCTAGCAATTCTTGGGCCCTTTTTCTTTCCAATAGTTTAAAAACATGGCTGCAAATTCTTTAATATTTTCCATTTCGAGGTGGGATCTGTGTCCCCTCCCCCTATGCCATAGAATCAATTCTGTTAAACTCTCTTGGTTGAAGCAGTTGCAAGCCCACCCATGGAATATATAACCCTGGACTGGGAAAAGGACATTAGCAGGACAGATGCTAAAATTTAAATAAAGTCTGTAAATGAGTTTATGGTATTGCATCACTGTTAATTTCCTGGTTTTGATCATTGTGTCATGATTGTGTAAAATGTTAACGTTTGGGGAAATGCGAGAACCTTGGAACATCACAACTCCTATCACCTGCCTCCTTTCATGATCTTTTATCTGTTATTTTGCCTTAAAAAAAAACTACGCAGATTAGATAATACTAGTTTTTTTACAGGCAATATTAAGATTTATCTTGATGTTTACAAGTTTTATTTTCTTTGTCTTTTTCTTTCTTTCTTTTTCTTTTTTTTTTTTTTTTGCTTGTGATTAGTCTGGCATCTTAGCTTTCTGGAATATTTTCTTCTTTCTAAGGAACATCTTTTAAAAATTCCTTTGGTGTAGGTCTGTTGGAAACAAACCCCTGGTTTACATTATCTCTGTCTTTACTTACTCCTCATTCTTGAAAGATCATTTTCTTTAGTGCACATTTCTCAGGAAAAATGTTAGTAGTCATTTACTCAATACTTTAAAGATCTTATTCTGTGTTCTGGCTTTTGTTTTGTTGTTGAGATGTATGCTGTCAGTTTTAAATTGTCATTTATTTGTAGGTTATCTATCTTTTGCCTCTAAGTGCTTTTAAGTTGTTCTTATGGTCCTTAATGTTCTGTAGTTTTATTATCTATGGATTTTTATTTTACACTGTGCATTCTGTGTCTGTACAATTACATCATTCATTTTATGAAAAACTCTTAGTCATTAGCTCAACTGTCATCTTCCTTTATGTTCTTTGTTCTCATCTTCTAAAATTTCAATCAGATCTGCTTATTCTTCATTGCATATTTCTTACCCCTTTTTCATTATTTCCATCTACTATGCTGCATTTTTCAAATCTATCTTCCAGTTTGTAATTTTTTTTGCTATGTGTAATCTGCTAATTAAGTCAACTATTCGGTTTTTTTTTTTAAAAAAAAGATTTTATTTATTTATCTTTAGAGGGGAAGGGAAGGAGAGAGGGAGAGAAACATCGATGTATGGTTGACTTTCATGCATCCCCTGCTGGGAACTGGCCTGCAGGGAACCAGCCTGCAACCCCTGTATGTGCCCTGACTGGGAATTGAACCGCAATTGTCTGGTTCGCAGGCCTGCGCTCAATCCACTGAGCTACACCAGCCAGGACTAAGTCAACTATTCAGTTTTTATTACAACAGTTTTGTGTGTCTTGTTTATTTGGTTCTTTTTTCAAATAACTTATAGTCTTATATATTGCTCAATTTTGTGACTCTCTTCTTATTTCTTCAAATATTTTATATACGGCATTTACATCCTAATGTCTAATACCCACTGCATATAATCATTGGGTTTAATTTGTTTGTTGTCTCTGCTGACTCTCATGGCATGTGAATTTGGGAGTTGATAAACTTTACTGTGAGTGGTAGGAGGCCACGCATTGGGGATAATTTCTTTCAAGAGGATTTATGATGTTTTGCTGGGAAATAGGTGTGTTACTGACCTGGCACCACACCAGTTCCCTTTTGGGATCTCAATTTAGCCTGAAAGTCCCAACCTCCCCTCCCCTCCCCTCCCCTCCCCTCCCCTCCCCTCCCCTCCCCTCCCCTCCCCTCCCCTCCCCTCCCCTCCCCTCCCCTCCCCTCTCCTGCTGCTAGTCCAGGGCTCCTGCACTGCAGCGCTGTTGCTGGCATTTGCTTTCAGGATGGCCATCTGTCATGCCTGTGCTTCAGCTTGCCAGTCTTTTAGCCCCTGGTCTTCCCCTGCTCCTTGTCTGTAAGCAAGGTCTGTTTCTCATACAGCAAGGTCTGTTTCTCATACAGCATCATGTATTTTTATAAAGGAAAGCTCTCCCAGAATAACCGAAGTTTTTCCTTTTATTCAAGATACCTAGCATTATCCAACATTACATTACTTAATTAGTTGTGTATTGTTTTATGGCCAGTCTCCCTACCAAAATGTGAACTTCCTGGGAAGAGGGACTTGGATTCACTGCTGTATCTTCAGTGACCAGAACACAGTGCTTAGTTTATAGTAGAGCCTAGAGCTTAACAACTATTTCTTGAAGGCTGAAATGTATTAGTAAATGAATGAGTGAATTTCATGAAAAAGTTCATTAATACCAGGTATTCCATTTATTTCTCTAGATACAAAGATGAATCTGATGAAGTTATTTCCCTTGAGGTATTTATAAGACTTAGTGGAGTAAAATGAAAGAATAAGTTTAATAAAGCACTATAGCAGACACAAGCATAAATGTATAAATAATACCATATCAAAGTACATACAGGTGTCTCTCAGGCTTATATGTCACATTCAGTAGTTTTTAGTTCATTATGTAAGTTATTATAAACCTTTTGTAGAAGAAATTTAATTAAACGTATGCTTTACAAAGATTCTGGTGGAAAATGGTGGATGGATCAAGTCAAGCAAAATTGAAGGCAGAAAAAGAGTCTAGGCAATTTCCGCAGTTCATGCCTCTTCTATTAAAAAAATTTTTTACACTGTCTGTGATAAGCCAGGTACCATTCTAGGTACCAAGGAAATACTTGAGAACAAGACAGTTAAGGGTGGTTGGCGGGTGGTGATGGCTGGCAGTGACCCAGGCAAGGCCTCTCTGAAGAGGTAGCATGTGTACAGAAACCTGAATGAGAAGCCAGAGGCACCCACAGACAAGTCAGGGGGACACAACATTTCAGTTAGAGGGAATGTCAGGTGTAACCCTATGTTTTTTTTTGCTTTAAGGACCAAGAAGTAGACCACTGTGCCTGAGATGGAGTAAATGATGAGAGAATATTTGTTGAGTTTGGAGCAGTAGGCAGGCACCAGACCACCTAGGTCCTTATAGCCATGGTAAAGAGTTTGGACAGTGTTCAAAGTGCAACTGGAAACTGTGGCAGGGACCAAGGCAGGATGGGGGAGCATAATGAGACTTACTTTTTAAAAAGTTCATTCATGTGGTCCCTCTTTGAAAAATGTCCAGGACAGAGGTGCTATAAACTAGTAGACTGGGCAAGATATGAAAGGGCCTGAGCTCAGGCAGAGGGGTTGATCCCTGTTAACCTGTCTCCCCTCCCTAGACTGTCACTTCTTGTACAGCTTGTTCACTGCAGAATTCCTAATGCAGCCCAGTGCTTGGGATACAAAGGAGGTGAAAGGCACATTCAAAAGATGTTTGCGTGAACAAATGGCTGCCAAGGATTCTGTTCTTAGATAGAATCAGCCAGTAACTGGGTCATTTAGGAGTAAGGTTAAGCTCAGTCAAAGGTAGGTCAGTTATAGTTGGGACTGTTGCGTGGTCACAAGTCATTTTACATTGTAATCATAGCAATTGTGGTGACTTCATTTTTTCTTTTTTTTTTACATATGACTTTTGCCATAGTGGAGTCTGAATAATTGTATGTACGTAATCCAGTATGAATCTGTCACCACTATTAGAAATTAATTTCAAGAAAATATGTACTATGTTGTTTGTCAGTAACATTATCATCACATATAAGAAGATAACATATGTTTAGGAAATTTTTACTACCAATAAGAATGAGGCTTTAGAGATGATTACATTTGGAATTACCAATGAAATAGTTTGTTTACATAAAGCAAAACTGTCTCATTTCCAGGGAATAACTTCTCTTCCAAGAAGTGGGAGCACAGAATCCTAGTTAAGAATTTGGCTTTGGAGATAAACGTACCTGAGTCTGAGGTCTAGCAGAGGCCCAGCATTGCCGTTCATTGACTGTGCGATCTTGGGTGAAGTATTTCTGCAATGCTGACTGTTGAAAAATACCCTTGGCCAGAGTTGTGTTTGGCTCCACATTTAGGAGCTCTATTTAATATTGCCTTTATTGGTGTATCGTTTTGAAATGATCCGTTAATATTCTAAACTACATCTTGATTGATCTGAGGCTCTTTGCTAGACTGTAAACTTCTTAAAGGCAGAGATCGTCTTGTTCACAATTGGATTATTTTCTGGCATAATGCCTGATGCAGATGGACTCTTAACAAATATTTGTGAAGAGCTTGGTGAGCTTGCTGATGAGACAGAGATGCCATCTCAGGTGTGTGGCTGGTTGGCATTATATCAGTGAGGCAGTTTGGTCCAGGACTGGCCTTCAGCTTTCAGGACCTAGGAACTACATTTTGCCCCTTAGCCAAAGGTGATAACTCTCTTGGAGGTAGACTCAGACTAAACAAACTCATGTACAGCTAGCTATACTTATTTCCACTAAGAAATATAAATTTTGGGTGGTCTGGAATTCTGCTTGCTTATTCATTTAATGAATACTGATTAAGCATTTCCTATGCATCAGATATTGCTGTATCTTTGCACAAACCATGAATAAAACCGACAAGATTGCCACTCTCACGCAATTTGCACACCTGTGTCAACAAGTGAATATAAAGTTGCAGGTGGCGATAACTGTTTTAAAGAAAAACATAGCAGGATAAGAAGATAAAAATTGTTAGGAAGGGTATGTATTATTTTAAATTGGATAATAAGGGAAGGTGTCCCTCAGGAGGGGACATTTAAACTAAAACCTAAATGAAATGGGAGAAGAATATACCAGTAGAGGGAAGTACTGTATGTCAAGGCTGTGAGGGAGAAATAATCCTGGGGGTGCTTCAGGAATAAAAAGCAGACCAGTGTGAAGGACAGCCTCTCAGATGTCTCTCAGTGATGTCTGGCTACTGGTATTCACACCCTAATGAAATGTCCTTCCCTTGAGTGTTCAGTAGATTTAGTAACTAGCGTCTAAGGAATAGAATGTGGCAGAGGTGGTGGACTGTCACTGCTAATATGAAATTGCAAAAAGATGGTGGCTTTCACTTTGGGTGCTTTTCCCCCCACTCTCTTCTTTTCTTGCTTTGCAACAAAAAGCTAACATAGCAGACCTGAGGATGCTATCCTTAGATAGGTCAGCTTATAAGATTGGCCTGTGGCTGGCATCTGAAAACCAGGCTGGTAAACAGTTCCCTGCACTAATAGAAAACTTGCCCTAAATGCTAAGTGTGGCTCACTATGTCTAGACTATGCAAACTGTATGCTAATGTCAAGCTCCTGCCTTCTCAGAGTCTGGAATTTTAGGACATGCTCAGCAGAGGTTGCCTATGTGACTGACTTTCTATAAAGTCTTCAGCTGCTGAATCCTTACTGGGATGCTCTAGGCAGAAACACTGTGCACACATTGCTGCAATTTTGTTGCTGGAAGAAGAGTGCGATCTCTGTGAGCCCTCATGGGAGAGTATGAGAGCAGAAAGCAGCCGGCTAATGGCTTCCTCCAGGCTCTGCCAGTACCTTTTCCCTTTATGATCTGGTTATGTATCCTTTCTACATGGCTTTGATAAATCTTAGTGCAAATACAACAACATGGTGAGTTCCATGAGTACTTCTAGCTCATCTGTGAATGTGGGGTGCTCTTAGGAACTCACAGCACACTTGCTCTGATGAAGCAAGCTGCTATGAACTGCCCACTGGAGAGTGATCCAGGTAGCCCAGCACTGTGGGAGGCCTCTGGTCTACAGCCAGCAAGGAGGAATTGAGACCTTCAGTCCAACAGCCACTAAATCCATGTGAGTGAGCTTGGAATCGAGTTCTCCCCCAGTTGAGCCTTCAGGTGAGGTTACAATCATGGTCAACACCTTGACTGCAGTTTGTGAGAGACCTTGAAACTCAGGCACTGCCCAAGCTATACTTGGATTCCTGGCCTACTGAAACTGTCAAATAATAAATGTTTGCTATATTTAACCTTTAAATTTTGGGATGATTTGTTGTGCAAACCAGCCAGTATGGGTGGAGTATAGGGAGCAAAGAGAATGTGGTGAGGAGCTTAGAGGTAGAGAGAGCTCAGATCCTACAGGGCATTACAGTCCATGGTAAGGATTTGGGATTTTATTCCATCAGAGGATTTGGAGCAGTGAAATCTGATCAACATGTTGTCTCCTGTATAGCCAGTAGTTTTCTACCTTGGCTGCCTTCTAGAACCACCTGTTGGGAACCACCCTGCCTGGTTTCAGAAACTGTAACCCACCCCCCCTTCCATGGCTAAGGCTGAGTATAGAGACCTTGGGACCATAAGCCACTAAGGAGACAAAGCTTATCTTCCTGGTAGGGTCGCCGCCTCTGCCCCCTTTTACTTCATCCTGCTTGGCCCGGGGCGGATGACTTGTTAGTCAATGATGGGTAAGATTACTCAAGGGAGGGATGACCTAAGACAGGCATGGTCACTAGGGGTCCTCAGGGAAGGATTTAGGGGCTATGGAAAAAGGGGGTGATGGACTCTTGCCCCTTGGCTTTCACATAGCCTGAGTCCTCATTCTGTCTGCAAGAAATCTCCTAATCTCTTCGCTGACCTTACTTCCCCCACCTCACTTAAGCCTGAAACAATGCTGGAGGTGGGTGCGGCCCTGTGCTGGGAAGGGCAGGTTCCCTGGGGCAATCCAGAGTAAGAAAGAATGCATAAAATCCTGTGAAACCTGCTTTGCTAAGAATATCCTCAGTTTTCTGGTTAGGGCTTAAACATAAAATGAGTTTGTTTCCCCGAAGTTTTATGGCTCTTTACCTAACTGATCCTGACTCAGAATAAGCCCTCAGAGTTCTTCGAATGTTGTCTATTGTTTGATCCTTACTGCCTGACAAGATTGATGAACTTTACCTGTATTTCTGTGCAAATAAAACCCAACAAAAGCCCATTGAGGAACAGGTTCCTGGCCCTTCTCCTTTGAGAGATTGGCCACCTTTCCTCCCCAAGCAGATCATGTCTTGGTAGACTTATTCTCATTCACAGCGAGCACATTGCAGGGGGCGAGGAGGGTGGACTCTGCGGGTGGAGCCCCCCCATAATCACCGAGGGAGCTCTTTAAAAATACCTATGCTGGGCCACGCTCTCAGAGATTCTGATTCAATTGGTCTCAGGAGAAGCTCTATATCATTATTTTTTAAAACCTCCCTGAATTAATTCCAATGGGCAATTTGGGCCGAGAACCAGATGTACTTTAGGGGAGCACACCTGTGTGGGAAGCCAAAGAAGACGTTTTCTGAGTGGGGAATCGGAATGAAGGGAGTGAGTTGCATACTTGTAATGATGGATTAGTATATCAGATAATCAGGTCTGGTGTACCTAGGGGGATTCTTTCCTGACCAGTGCTGGAGAAATAGCTGCCATTGCACAACCCTTGGATCATCCCTTCCTGAGATAGCTGTGGCCCGTTGTTCTATTCACCCAAGGCACAATATCATGAATTAGGTTTTGGTGTTAGAGATGAATACTATCACATCAAATGTAAATCTTTGATCTTAAAACTTTTTAAAAAATATTTTATTTATTAATTTTAGAGAGAGATAAACATCGATGGGTTGTCTCTCATCTGCACCCAAACGAGAGACTGAACCCGAAACCCAAGCATCTGCCCTGATCAGGAATCAAACCAGCAACCTTTCACTTTGTAGGATGATGCCCAACCAACTGAACCACACAGGTCAGGGCTTAAAACTTCTTTAATAAATTCTAACCAGTGGCAACAGAAAGAGTATTTTGTCTTTCATTTCCAAAATGGAAGAGAAAATGAATTCTCACTATAAGTAGATATTTGCTTGTCATGCCTAATGTTTTATTCATAATTGTGAATTCTCTTACTTAAAGAAGATCCCCCAGTTGTGTAAAGTTGTCCACAAGCACGGGTCTAGTCCAGCCAGCCCTCTTTCCCCATCTTCATACCGAGGAGCTCCATTGTGTCAGAGAGGACACTTATTCTCACACCCCTGAGAGGCTGTATCGATGGGGTGATTTGTGCCTATAAATAGTATGGTGCAGGAGGGAGAAAAGGACCACTCATTCTGATGAATTTCATTTCCCAAATTCTCAGGTTCTAATGACTTATTCTTTGTAGAAATGTCCTCACTGAACATGCAGGAGGGAATGAAAAAGGAAACTGCCCCCCCCCAAGTTGGCAAGTCAGCTTCTGTCCACGTTAGGCTCAGAAGGAGCAGGGCTGTGACCAGCCACGTGTGCAAAGTGGTGTCCTATCAGGACCACCCTCCTCCTCCCACCCCCACGACGGTCTGAACAAATTTCTAAAGTCTCCCTATGCAGACTTTTCTGATGCCTGGAATTCAGCACATCAGCAAATGTCGTCATCAAAGAGACAAAGCTTTTATTTCTGCACTGAATAATAATGATACAGATAAGAAGATGCAGATAGTCTCAGGGAATGTAACATTTTAACTGAAGCCCACCTACCCCAAAGTGCCAAATGACTGCAATTATATCTTTTCTGCTACAGTTTTTTAAACTTTATTGAAAAATAACTGACGAATGTAATTGTATATATTTAAAGTATGAAACAGGAAGATTTGGTATACATACACATTGTAGAAAGGTTACTAAGATCAAGATAATGAACACATCCATCACCTCACACAGTTAAAGTAGTTACCTGTGTGTCTGTAAGAACGTTTAAGACTCACTCTCAGCAGCTTGCAGGAACACAGCACTGTAACCACAGTCCCCATGGACTGTGGTTGCATTAGATCCTCAGAACTTGTTTTTCTTAGAGCTGAAAATTTGTGCCTTTGACCTACATCACCTCATTTCCCCTCCCTGAAGCCCCTGGCAACAGCTATTCTATTGTCTGTTTGTATTAAATCATTTCCTTTTGATTGAGGAAAGGAAAAGGAAGTAAAGATTGGAGAGTCACCCCAGAGAGGAGATTCTTCTTTCTGTAAAAAGGGGCAGGAAGGACCTTTGAGATGAACCATTTAACAGTCAAGTTCTGCCTGAAGCCTGGTTGGAGAAGCTGGCTAAAGGAGAGGGAACATTTTTAATTAGAAAAATACGCACAAATGTACTCATTGTGGATAAAAATAGGCATAGATGTGCAAAGGGAGAAAGAAACCCATCAGGAAATACTCATTGCCAGCCTCCAAGGAACGTGAAATAGAAAATTATAATGAACTTGCCTCAAAGCTTCCCTGACTCAAACACTTGACTTCTGAGTTTCTTTTTAAATATTTAATTGTATCTCTGGTAACGTTTCAGGGGATCTCATTACTCTATTTCTTATTTCTACTTATAGGGAGGTAAATTGACTGTATTTGTGGGGGGAGAATGCAGTGAGGTTTTTGTTTTTTTTTTTTTTTTTGAGAAAAGAGATAACAATGGTCCCTTTTATATTTGACGAAAGTTTTTTACATGGACAACAGATTTTTATGGAAAAAAACTAATGCTGGGCTATCAAATAAATATCTCACATTGTTATAATTATAGAAAGATTCCCAAGTCATGATATGCATATCTTCTATTGCACCTGTGCTTCTGAAAGGGTACGGTGCAAAGCGAGGGGACAGAAGCACCAATATTTCACACAATAGAGTTTTGTCTGAATGTGAGCATTATTTTACAGCTGAAAAACAATGCAGTATAACCTTTTAGTTTAAGCTCAAGAAAATTGAGGCCCACAAAAGTTAAAATATTCAAACACTGGTAGCAAAGGTGACACTAGAATTTAAATTCACCGATTCATTACCTATGCATCTTTTTACCACACCAAGTTACCTCCTGGACTTGCCTCATGTGTAAATTAACATGGTAAGCAATTATTACATGCAATTCATAATATTTGAGCAAATGCTCTCCTTCATATTGACCGATATTCTCCCATTTTGTGGAACATTCAGCCAAGGTAGACAAAATAACACTAATCATAATAGCCACCTTTCAGTAAGTGCCTTCCATTTGCTAGGAATATATGATCTTCGTTAAACATCAGAGTGACCTGGAAAGTGCATATACTTCTATTTTATTAGTGAGAAAGATGATAGGGGAACGCAAATTCAACCTAGCTCTTTTTTTTACTCTCAAACCTGCCATTTTAAGGAAGACTGGCTATGAATCAATGTTAAAACCAATTTTACTTGTTTTGTTTTTAGTATTTAAAATATTGTATTATTTGCTGCTTTTTACTAACACTTACATCAGTAGTCAAATGAATACTTTTAAAAATCCCAGCTTTCTGCATATGTTTTCATGTCATAAATGGGACAACAAGTTCATGAGTTTTTTAACTAATAAATTTGTTTTAGTTGGATGCCTTCTTAATAAAGTTAGTTAGGTCATGCAACTGTTCTGCTTAAAACCTTCCCTGATAATAATAAAAGCCAAGGTACTTTTACCACTGCCATAAGGCCCTCATAGTCTGGCTCCCCTCAGTCTGGCCGGCCATGCTGGCCTCAGGGCCTTTGCATTTGCTGTTTCCTCGAACCGGAATATTCATCTCTCAGTGATACACATGGCTGGTCTCTCACTTCTCGGTTTCTGCTGGGATGTCATCACATCAGAGGGGTTTCCTGACCACTCGACCTAAAATGGCCACGTGGCCTTGCTCTCAGCCCATTGTACTACATCTTCATGTCCTACCCTATTTGTGTACCTAGAACTAACTTCACACCATGTGTTCTGTACACTTGCTGTAGGGCTATTTTACTTATTTGTTACTGCCTCCCTCTCAATAGGATGCGAACTCCATTAGGACACAGCACAAATGTTTCTAGGATAAATGACCAATGTGGAAATGTCCAGAGTGGGTTGCTAGGGGCAGCTTTTATCTGCTTGGGTCTCATGGCCTGTCTACATTAGAATCACCAGGGAACATTTAAAAAATGCATATTCCTGGGCCTTACACCTAAGAGATTCCCTAGGTCCTGAAGTGGGGATCCAAGAATCTGTATCTATTATTGCTAATAGTTTGTATTTTCCAATCGATTCTCTTGCCAGAAAATCCCTTCATACTTAGTGTTACATAAAGGGCAACCAGCAGGGAGAAAAGGCCTCCACACAGCCTATGTGGTAAGTTTCCTCTAAGTGTCTCCACGCTGGAGAGTCTTATACCATGAATGCTCCAGCGCTGAGTGCCCTAACAGGCGGCCTGCAGACATCGGCTGATTGCAGGGAGATCAGAAGCTTACATTCTGAGTCTTGGCTCAGTGCAGCCTAGTCCGTAAAGATGGTACTGACTCTCCAACGTCCCATTGCCTTTTCTTCCTCATCCGCCTAATATGCCAACATTACTTTTGAGTCTTCATTATCTTCAATCAACTTCCACGTGTGATTATTTTCTTGTTTTGGTTTTGTTTTTTAAACTCCTACACCCTAGAATCTAGAAAGCAGGATTAGTATGGAAGACTAGAATATTACAGGGACAATAGAAATTGTGGACTGAATGCACTTACAATGTCTCTCGACAATAGTTTGTCTGTATTGTTATCAGCAGTGCCCATCTGTTTGTTTGTTTTTTTTAAATTAACTTAGGAGAGGTTGAGTTTGCAAAGTCCTTTCTCATGACTGTGTTCAGAAATGATTGGATTGGCTATGTATGGTAAGTGGAGGTGGGTGAAACTTAGAGGCCTTCTTCCCCATATGCTTGCAAGGACCTAGTGGATGGATGTGCCCTGCACAAGGACTCCAGGCCTTGTGGGAAGCAAGTGGACATTGACAACAAACCTGCGCACGGGTCATCAAACTCTATGCCCTGGAAGGGACTGAAATGGCAAAGAGAAAGAGCTAGCAAAGCCTCTCCAGAGTCCTGTGTTAAACTTCAGTTTAGTGCCGTTGTGATTCCTGTAGACCCCCCTGTACACGTGAGTAGTTTTAGTATCAGACCATCCTGATGAACAAAAAAAGCATCAAAAGAAACAACAACATCTTGAATCACAATATGTATCCCCTGGCAACCATAATCTCCCCCAAAATGCCTCTTTTGATGCTCATTCTTTTTTAGCTCAAATTAGATATCGAAGACTTGATACTGGACAGTAACTACATTCAAGTAACGAGGGTAGAAAAATCTTTCAGTAAAAAATCAGGCCTTAATTATAGAAACCACACAGGAGTAAAATATTATGAATGTAATGAGCGTAGAGGTAAACCTTGGATTCTAGTTCATATTTTATGTTTCCCCAGAGAATTCATGCTGGAAAGAAGAAAGAAGGAATGTTCTAGATGTGGTAAGTCTTTCAGCTGCTGGTCAGATGTCTTTCATCACCAGAGAACCCACACCTGATTACCTATGTGGGCATGCAATAAATATGGAAACATGAGGATTTATTGGAATGGAAGATTGCCCACTTGGATTTGAAATATTTTTGTAGATTTTTAGCTCCAAGCACTTTCTCCAACCGTTGTGCTATTTATCTCTCCCATCTGGCTATTCCTGAGTTATATCCTTTTATAATAAAATGGTGATCTAATAAATAAAATGTTTCTTTGAGTTCCGTGAGCTGCTCTATGAAATTAATTGAACCAAAGTAAGCTGTCATTGGAAGCTCCAAGTTATAACCTGGTCAGAAGCGTAGACGATGACCTGAATTTGTGATTGGCAGCAGAGTGAGGGGAGAGGCGGTCCTCTGGGATTGAGCCCTTAACCTGAGGGATCTAATGCTATCTCCAGGTAGGTAGTGTCAGAACTGAGTTGAATTATAAGACGCCCTGTTGCTGTCAGAGAATTGCTTGATGGTATTAGGGAAATCCCCACAGGTTGGAAGTGGAGGCAGAATCGTTAGTGAAAAACAAAGTACAAATATGTGTTATGACAGAGAATGTTTGTAACTTGGAGAAGATAAAGAGACATCCCTGAAATTTTAAACACAATCTAATTAGTTTTTTATTTGGATATTATCATTACTACTTTTAGAAACACCTAATCTTCTTCATTAATATACAAATTGCAATAGATGAAAATGGCATTTTTATATATTTGCCCATATCAGGGTATTAAAATTTTAAGTATCAATAAATCAGACAAACATAACAAGATTGTAAATGTTTTGTTGATTAAAGTTTTGAGGAGTCTTTATAAATGTGAAAGCCTGACAAGTTTCTGCAAGATGCAATGCCCTATTACAATCACAAAAAAAGAACTAATGGAAAAAGTTATGAATTACATTATCAGAGAAGAGCTATTTACTTAAAAATCTTCCAGAAGTGAATGTAAAACTTTTCTGTAAGCAGTCACGCAGTCTGCTTGACCTAAATGTAAATTTTACATAAGAAAGAAAACAAGGTTATCCCAAACTAAAGTTTAGTGTTTTTGAGAGCAAAATTGAGAGAAATCATGTCATGGATGAAATCAGTTGTGGCAGACAGGCTGGCTGGGCATTTAGCTAAGCAACATTTCCCAGTCTCCTTTACGGTTAGATGCAGTAGGGTGACTGAGTTCTAGCCAATAAAATGTGAGGTGAGGTGAGGTGTGCTACTCCCAGAAATGGAACGTAAGATCCTCCCATGCTCTTGCTCTTTTCCCTTCCTCTGGTTTGACGGAGATGACCACAGCAGCTTTGAAAATCATCCATCACTTGTTAAAGATGAATGAGCCACGAGATGGACTGGTACTTAGAGGAGAGCAATCTGCCATCAAGACAGATTTATGTGTGAAATACATTTCTATTGTATTTGAGCTATTTTACATTTTGAGGTTTGTCACAGCACCAATATTACAAGGGCCTGTAAATCATCTTTTAGTGACAATGACATTCTTCAAACCGAGTTTGCCTACAGGCTCCCTACAAAAACCACTGCTATATCCCACCTTTTTCCAGCCCTCCAATACAACCTATCCCCAATGTTGATGAAAGTCTTAGCTAAGGGTGTAATTGGGTGGGACATATTTAATACCATGAAGTCTTGAATCAGTTAGCCTGACTTAAGTTTCACCTCTGCAATTTACTAACTATATGGTCTTAGGCATGTTATTCAACCTCCATATGCCTCAGTTCCTTATCTATTAAATGAGGACAATAATCCTTCCTCAAAGTTTGTTGTAAGGATTCAAAGATGTTATATATGACAATTTCTCAGAACAAAGTCCTGAGTATTTCGTAATTAGGTTATCTATTATTAAGAGTCGGTGGGAGGGGGTGATAGTCTTACATCTATATACTTCTCTTCTTTGGGGTTTTCATTCCCTTTTTGTATTTCTCCTTTTTTGATTCCACATTAGAGTCTCTGTGAATTGTCTCTCATGAACTCTGTGTGGCTGGTGCCATAAACTGGGTGTGGGAGACCCCATTCTCTTCTGCTGGGCCATGGGAAAGGAGATCTCTCTCAGGCTGCTCAGACCTTCCTCCAGTCCAGGCACCAAGTTTCTCTGGAGCTGAAATCCACAGCTCCAGCAAGAAATACGAAATGATTTTGTGACCTAATAGCAGCTGTTGTAGCTTTGGTAAATAGCTGGTTTAGGATACCAGATTTGGGTTGTTTGCTGTCTCTTTCTACCTGAAGACATGACTATCACTCAGAAAGATCCGGTTTCAATCTTGGTGACCTCAGCTTCAGGGAGTTAGACAAAATGCTATTTTAATTAAAAAGAATTGTTAGTACTAATTGAATATTTACTGTGTGCCAGGTATTCTTTATTGCTTAATATAAATGGCAGTGTTTTATCCCTATAACCCATATCTTTCCCTGTACTGACACATGTACAGTGTCCTCTGTACATGTCTCTATTATTAATATAGGTGCTCAGGTCAAAATCCTAAAGACATTTTGGATTCCTTACTTTTATTATATCTTATAGCTGTCAATAAATTCTATAGGCTCTAACCACTAAATATGTAAGCCCACCACTCCTTACTTCTTCATTGGTCACCAGTCTAAGTCTCTCTCTCTCACCAAAGCTACTGTTGTAGCCCTTTAACTGGTATTCACCTGCTACAGTGTATCCTTTACATAGCAGTAACAGTGATCCTGCCAAAATGCGAAACAAATCATATTCCACCACTCTCTTTCTCCTTACCCTCCTAGAGGCTGCCAGCATCCGTTCCAGTCTTCTAATGTCCTCTCTCATCCTGCAGACACTAGACAATGAAAAATCGCATGTCTCAGACTCTGTTGCAGCTATGGCTTGGGCACACACAGAAGGTTAGGAAGGTCGGAGCAGGGTGAAGGCCCTTCTGGCTGCTCTGACTATTGTAGCAGGGAAGCATGGTCTCAGATATCACACTTGGGGTGGTGGTGTAGGTGTTAAGAGATGGCTGTGGTGGCAGCAGGGAGGGCTTCCTGTTCTCTGGCTCATGGCCTTCGTGTCTCTCCTTGAACTCACCAGTTCATCTGCAACCTCTTGATTGTGCACCTTTGTGATTGTGGCAGAGGCTGCAGCTTTACTGGCAGGCTGCTTTGGCGGTGGTCTGGACCTCATTGCTGAGCACCAGCTTAGAGCTGAGATCACCAAGACTGAAAATGAATATTTCCTAGTAATAGTCATGTTTTCAGGTAGAAAGAGACAGCAAAACAACCCAAATGTGGTATCCTGAACCAGCTATTTACCAAAGCCACAACAGCCACTAGTAGGTCACAAAATCATTCCATTTCTTTCTGGAGCTGTGGATTTCAGCTCCAGAGAAACTTGGTGCCTGGACTGGAGGAAGGCCTGAGCGCCGGCTTAGTGCTTGCTCCTCTAACCTTTGTAGTGGTTTTATAAGTGCCTCAATTTCTTTGTAATTACATAATGAGAGTGTTTCCTGTGGCTGAAGTTTAACTAATACACATTTAATTACACTTAGAATCAGTTTGAAGTCCCTACCAAGCCCAGATGACCTGGCCCTTAGCTACTCTCACTGGGTACTTGCTTGGACAAACCCAGCTGGCCCCCACTCAGGGCTTTTGCCCCTGCTAATCTGATTCTCCTAGGTCTATGCCATGGCTCACTTGGTTTTTTTCATGTCCGTGCTCAAACACCACTTCTTCGGAGAGGTCTTCTCTGACCACTTATTTAGAACATCAATCCCTATCACTCTTGTCCCTTTATCTTCCTTTATTTTCCTTCATTATACTTAAAATCTATCATTATACTATATTCTTGGTTAAAGTGTGTCTGCCTCATTGGAAAATAGGCTGCCTGTTTTGTTCATTGCTCTAACCTGAGAAGCTCAAAACTTAAAAACCTCCCACTTAATAGTATTTATTTGTTTATTTATGCAGAAGCTAAATAACTTTTAGGGGTTATGCAAAAATAACTTTCTGGGGTTTTGAAAATATATTTAAGCTGCTATTTCTTTATTTTAGTGATGAAAATCAGGCTGCACTGTGGGTGCCACCACCATCTCGGATCGCCATGGGCTTAGCCATGCCCAATCCTCCGTGTTCTTTGGCATTGCCACTGAGGGTAAACCCTTCCAGCTGTTTGCAGACAGAGTTCCAAAGACAGCAGAAAACTTTTGTGCTCTGACCACTGGGGAGAAAGGATGTGGTTATAAAGGCTCCTGCTTTCACAGAATTATTCCGGGATTTATGTGCCAGGGTGGTGACTTCACATGCCACAACGGCACAGGCCGCAAGTCCATCTATGTGGAGAAATATGATGAGAATTTCATCCCAAAGCACACCGGTCCTGGCATCTTGTCCATGGCACATGCTGGACCCCACACAAACGGTTCCCAGATTTTCATCTGCACTGCTAAATCCGAGTGGCTGGATGCCACGCCTGAGGTCTTCGGCCAGGTGAAAGTCGGCGTGGACTTCATGACGACCATGGAGCACTGTGGGTCCATGGAGCACTGTGGGTCCAGGAATGGCAGGACCAGCCAGAAGATCACCATCGCTGACAGTGGACAACTCTAATAAATGTGACTTGTGTTTTAAAAACTTAAAAAAGTAAAATATACTGGCCCTGGCTGGTGTGGCTCAGTGGATTGAGCGCGGGCCTGCGAACCAGAGTATCGCAGTTCGATTCCCAGTCAGGGCACATGCCTGGGTTGCAGGCCAGTTCCCAGCAGGGGACTCAGGAGAGGCAACCACACATTGGTGTTTCTCTCCCACTCTTTCTCCTTCCCTTCCCCTTTCTCTAAAAATAAATAAATAAAATATATTTTTTTAAAAAGTAAAATCTACTAAGTTTTACCTACACTCCACTCTTGCAACTTAAAGAGTAATGGTTTTCAGTTGATCACGGGGATGGGCTTCCCCAGCAGTTCTTGGAAAGTAACCCCTGGCTACTGTGTAGGATCACTGAGTTGGATGTCAACAAAGAATACAGCTGTCCCTCGCCATATCGCAGTTCACTTATTACAGCTTCACTGTATCATGGGTTTTTTAAAAAAAATGTATCTAATTCTGTTTCACGGAGTTTTCTCTATATCGCAGGATTTTGCAGTATATAGATATATATATATAATATTTATGATTTTAATTATTTTTGCCTAAAAGTTTAAAACAGCATAAAAATATAAAATGTTAATTCAAACATATTAAAATAATATTAAATAGAAATGAAATACAGTATGTATTTCACCAGGAGAAATAAAATACAGTATGAATACCGTACTATACACAATGGAAATGCAGTAGGAACTACCACTTGTGCAAGTTTGCCAACCTGAGATTGTACACAGCACACTATTGGCTGATGAAATGGAAGGCGACCAACCACAGCACTGTGTTCTGTATCCTGGGTGCTGATTGGCTCAGTGACCGTAGCATCGGTCTGTTTGTTCTCCCACACTTTGCCCACATGTTCAGCATCTCTCCTTGTCCACTTCATATCGAGGTCTGATCACTGCACGGAGTGTTGCTCTGTGGTGTTGTGTTTTTGTAAAATTTTTGTAAAAGTTTGAATCTATTTCAAGCCCTATGATGCCACCCAAACATTCTGTGCCTTCTAAGGCTTCTGGCAGTGAACCCAAGCTCCAGAGGAATATGCTTACCATCAAAGAAAAGGTGGAACTTCTTGACATGTTAAAGGAAGGCAAAAGCTACTCTGCTGTAGGGCCCCGTTACAGGATCAGCGAGTCTACTGTTTGCTGCATAAAGAAAGATGAGAAAAATATTAGGTCTATGGGAACAATGGCTTTTAACAAGATTGCAAAGAGGGTGGTTGCTTCCTGCAATAAGGCCATTGTGAGGATGGAGTCTGCATTGGCCCTGTGGATAAATGACTGCAGGGAGAAGAATATCTCACTGGATACCAACACGATCTGGACAAAGACCAAGAAAGTTTATGATAGTTTTGGGGAAAGCACGGATGTTCACGAAGGTGACGAGGATGAAGACAAGGATAACAATGCAGGAGCAGGACCGTCGAGTGCTTCTCCCACCAGACCAACCCCATTCAGTGCCAGCAAGGGCTGGTTTGACAAATTTCAGAGGCGCTTTGGACTCAAGAGCATTTCTCTGCATGGAGAAACTGCCTCTGTGGATAAAAAGCAGTGCCAGCAGCTCCCCATAACTATGTTCATCACTTGGGAGAGGAGATCAGTTACACCTACACCTTTAGCAGAAATAGAAGTTACGGCCCAGGGTGAAGATACTGCACCGCCTATTGAAGTACCTGATGAAGTGGTGCCTTCAGAAGAGCTGTGACGCTCTTCTTGGCTGTGCAGTACATTCATCTCATCGTCATCACCTTCATTGCCATCAGTACTGCACAGCTACATACTTCATGATCTTCAAGTTGTAGTATACTTCACTGGTGAGTACCCATACAGAATTTTATGTTGTTAAAATGATGTAGGTTTAAGAGTGTAGAAAGTGTTTAAGAGCATATGAAGTGTTTATAAGAGTGTGGGAAAGGTTAATAAGAGAGTGGGAAGGGTTTATAGGAGTGTGGGAAGGGTTTATAAAGCCTTAAAATATATATAAATAATAAAATTAATAAACACTGCTACTTTGCAGATTTTCACCTATTGTGGGGGTCTCTGGAACATAATTCCCATACTTGGTGAGGGATCGCTGTAGTGCCTTAGTGCAAGGAAGAGAATGACAGAGAAGGTTTGGGAAACAAGCACACAGATGGGTTTGAAAGAGCTCGTTGGGAATTCAGGGAGCTTGTTCACTTCAAATAAGCTCCGATAGATTGAGAGCATATTTTTAAACCACAGAACTAAACCAGAAACTCCTTAACAAATATTGAGCGCCTACTATCTTCTAGGCACTGAGCTGGCAATGAGAATATAAAGATTAAAAAAATAAAATAAAAAAACTATAGTCCTGGAAGGTGAGGCCGCTGCCTGGACGTCATCTAATCCCCTGGCTCTTAGACTAAAATCATGCTTAAGTCCAAACTGCAAAGAAGGAGGCTAAAAACAAAAGCGAAAAGATTATTGGGGGAACAAAAAGACTCTGACTTTCAGTCCAAGGGAATTACACCTCCCCCTCTGCCACCCTCAGCAGAAAGACTGGTTATTTCTTCAACAGATATGCCCCTCGGCAGAGCCTGGAACTTCAAATTTCCCAGTATTGAAGATACAGTAAAACTTTGGACAAGTAGAATATGGCCTACATACAACTGGTGCCAGAACTGCATAGTCCAGGGTTTAGAAGTATTGAAAGACACCATCTTTCCTTCTTGTTTCTGCCACCTAGAACTTCACAGTCCGAAATAACAATTTTGCATTTTGGAAAGTGAATTGTGAAAGCTTCAGGGAGCACTGAAGACCATCTCAGAAAATTCTTCCCATCCAACTGTGGTCAAACCTATTACATGAGTGGTTAACCTACAAATGTGCCTGCCTGTGCTCTAACCCCCGCCAACCCCACAGAGAATCCCAGGCTGTACTTCCTGCCACACGACCACAGCCAGTGGGCCACCTTCCTCGTCCTCCACCCTCGGTGGCTCCACCCGCTCCAGCACCTTTGCTGCTCAGAAAATCCAGTCCCACTAAAGCACTTCAGGCTGGACCATTAAAAAAATGGACCCATGAAGATAACAGGTAAAGATCTACAGGCTGTGAAATTAAAGACAAGACAGAGTTTTGATGAAAAGAAGAAGCTTGTTCTACCACCAAAGGCCAGAATCCACTAGTTCCGTATGGTTTCTGACCTGCATGCAGCGTGTTACACTGAAGCCCAACTCCAAAGTGTCATGAAGTCCAGTTACAAATGTTTTAATTACTTCTGGTAACATTCAGATAGATCTGTGGAAACTACTTAGAAAAGTCGATATAGAAAAGAGCCCAGGTGGGACCGCCCCTTACCAATAAAGAAAATACAGAAACAGGAACTGGACTGACCCCAATAATGACACGGGCCGTGAGGAAGAAGTTTCAGCAGGCTCGCCCTAGAAACCCAGCTCAAACTCCGCCACTTCACACAAGCAGCTTTGACGAATGGAACGAATGCCGACTCTGCCTGACTCCATGTGATCACCCATGAACTATGCTGATAAAATCACCTCACTTCTTTTTTAAAAATGTAGTATGTATAAATAATTATGCTAATATATAATCCCATTGAAATAATTACAGCATGTATGGACCCCATATATACTGGGGTATAAAGTGGGTTTTTGGATACTTTCTAGTTTGCATGAACAGTAAGAGAACAGAATGGAAAATACAATCCCCAAGGCAATGTTTATCCTGGGATTACTCAATTTAGGGTAGAGAGCTTGTTCAAATTTAACTAGGTAATTCTAATTTGTACTCTGTGGGTGCAGTTATAACCTTAAGATAATAACCTCATTCCCATTCATCTTGGGTATTTCCAGGTAATTGGAAAGAAAGGTATTTCAGCCTGTAAAGCTCATCCGTTCATTAAATACTACAAACTTGATCAATTAAAAAGAGCCTCTGTTGGGGACCACTCTGTGTGGTTTCCAAAATTTCAGCCCCCTGAGAGCAAGCCCAGAAAGGGGCGAGTAAGTCTCCCTGAAAAACCAGGTAAAAATGCAGGTGGCAAGCATGACTCGACTCTAATACAGAGGGTTCCATGGGAATCAGGCCTGAAATGCACATTGTATCCTTTGAAGCTTGCTCTGCTTTGTTTTGTGTAGCCCTGGTGATAAAAACCAGATGTTCAAGTTCAAGGCAAACGGAGTAAACTCCGTGTCTCATGAAAGACGTTTTAAAGACCCTCTGGCGTCAGCATGACTAACAGACCCTGATCTGTGACAAATCTGTGTTCCTTCAATTGTTATCTATAGATAATGCCTGTTTTTGTATGACTGTAGCCTTTTTGACATTGATTGATGAACTATCTGTGTATGCTGTATACACCTACACATACCATTCCCAATAAAAGCCATTTGGGAGAAGGGCTCGGGAAATTCTCCACTGGAGGGAATTGCCATCCCCTTTCCCACCAGAACAACAAGATTGTGTCTGGGACGATTTATTTCTCATCCCTGGTGGACGGGAGCAGCATGCTGCTGGACGGAGTTCCTCCCACAGCCTCTGGACTTGCTTTCTGTTCCTTGTAAACAGTGAAGAGATAAGACCGCCCTCTATCCCAACCCAACTATTTTCCAAAAAATTTGGGAGCAAAGGATCCAATGTGACCATAAAAACCAGAATGTATAATTTCTAATATCCTGGATGAGTAGTTATATCTGGTTCTCTGAAGGGTGAGATATCTGTTATTTGACGTCTGCTGTTCACATTCATACAGCTACATACAAATTTCATGAAGACTCAACATGAGACTTGTATTTTCCACAGTACCCTGTAAAGGATCTTTGAGGTCTGTAGGAGGTTCACTGTAAGACCTGATACCCTATCTTCAATAGCCTGTTGACTCAATAACAGTAATAATGCACACCTAACTGTGTTTTTGTTATTTCCTGCCAGTCTGGGTTGCCAGATTTAGAAAACATAAACACGCGACACCCAATCGAATTTGAAATTCAG